CATAGTAGATGTGTTCATTAAGCTGGAAACACAAAGATTAGATTTTTATTTTTTCAATCAAGATTTGTTTCGAATAGATGTGCTACAAGGACTTATTGATATTTTAAGACTTGGTGAAACAGAAGCTTCCAAGATTGGCAAGAAAATATTCCTTCCTATTACTTTTATAGGAGGGCCAAGAGATATGCGTCGACGGTATATGGATGCTATTGCATTAGTGCAGCGTTTTGGAAAACCTGATATTTTTTTAACTATGACATGTAATCTATCTTGGCCTGAAATAAAACAGCTTGTTATCAGCGGATGAAACTCAAAATAGACCTGATTTAGTATCACGAGTATTCAGAGCAAAAGTAGAAGAATTAAAAGCAGATATCTTGAAAAGAAAAATCTTTGGAAAAGTTGTTGCTTTTATGTATACTATAAAATTTCAAAAACGTGGTCTTCCACATGCTCATTTTCTTATCATAATTAGTGATGAATACAAATTATTAACACCTGAATCTTATGATAAGTTTGTTTGCGCTGAGTTGCCTGATCGTAATACCAAAGAGCACCTTTATTCACGCGTGCTTCAGCATATGATGCACGAACCGTGTGGTGATTTAAATCCTACAAACTCATGTATGGGAAAAAGGGGGCTTTGTAAATTTGATTATCCAAAAGATTTTGCTGAGCAAACATCAAAAGGAAAGAATTCATATCCAATTTATAAAAGACGAAACACAGGCGAACTTGTACATATAAGGGAATAATATTTGGACAATTCATGGGTTGTCCCATACAACCCTTATTTACTTTTCAAGTTTGATTGTCATATGAATATTGAAGTTTATTCTGATATTAAAGTTGTAAAATATATTTACAAATACATCTGCAAAGGATATGATAAAATTATTTTTTCTATACATAACAATGAAGAAATAGATGAAATAAAAGAATATCGATCTGCTAGATGAGTAACATCTCTTGAAGCGGCATGGCGTTTATTTGGTTTTTCTATTAGTGAAATGACTCCGAGTGTTTATCATCTTCAATTACATTTAGAAGGACAACAATTTGTTTCTTTTAGAAGTAGTGAAACTGTTAATAGAATTCTAAATAATCCGATGACTAGAAAAACAATGTTGACTGAATTTTTTGCTATGAATGCAACTAATGAACATGCTATAGCTATGCAATTATTGTATAAGGAATTTCTGTAACATTTTGTATGGTCTCCAGGATATAGAACGTGGACACGTCGGCAAAAACGTAACGTAATTGGACGTGTTGTAACATGTCACCCAACAGAAGGAGAGAAGTATTATCTCAGGTTATTATTGATGAACGTGAGATGACCTAAATCATATGAAGATCTTCGCACCGTTAACGAGGTACCCTGTAGTACATTTAGAGAATCAACAGAAAAAAGAGGATTATTATATTGTAACAATAGTCTAATTGAATGTATGTCGGAGGCGGTAAGTTATCAAATGCCATATAGCTTGAGACATTTATTTGCCACACTATTAGTATATTGTAATCCTGCTAATCCAAAAATATTATGGGAAATGTTTGAAGATTCAATGTCCGGAGACTTTAAACATTTGTCTGATTTTGAAAAAAAAGCTGTTCGGCACAAGGTTTTAAGCCATATTAATGATATCTTACACTCTATGGGACACGACATAAATGAGTATAAGCTTATTCTAGAGAAGATTAGAGCTTCTGAAACTGCAAAGGAAGCAAAGGATGTTCATTTTGAAAAAAATATAATTGTTAGTGAACAAGACTTGCTCTTATCGAAGAGATTGAATGTTCAACAATTACGCGCATATAACACAATAATTGATAGAGTGTTTTCTGGAAAACAAGGAGCTTTCTTCATCAATGGTCCTGGAGGAACAGGTAAAACTTTTTTATATCGTGCATTACTGGCAACTATCCAGCCTCAACGATTTATAGCTTTAGCAACTGCAACTTCTGGTGTGGCAGCTTCTATCCTTCCAGGAGGACGGACTGCTCACTCACGGTTCAAAATGCCTATTGATATAGATGATAATTTTTGTTGCAATACTAGTAAACAAAGTTCACTCGCACGTCTAATTAGAGATGCAAAATTAATTGTATGGGATGAGGCATCAATGGAAAAAAAATATATGATTGAAGCTCTTGATGCACTTCTAAGAGATATTATGGACAACGATACAATGTTTGGTGGTAAAGTTGTTATATTTGGAGGTGACTTTAGACAAACTTTACCAGTTGTTCGAAATGGGAAAAAAGAAGATTTTATTCATGAAAGCTTATTATACTCTGAAATTTGGAATAAACTTGAGAAATTGTGCCTATCTGAAAATATGCGCGCAAGAACAGATCCTTCTTTTTGTGAATATTTACTTCGAATTGGAAATGGAACAAAAAGAACTAACTGTGAAGACAAAATAGAGATTCCTGATTCTTTTGTTATTCCTTTTACAACTGAAGCGGAATCCTTAGATGCATTGTTCAGTGTAACATATCCTGATTTGCATGCATTTTCTCCTGATTCATCTATGATAGCCTCTCGTGTTATCGTAACAACGAAGAATGACTTTGTAAACGAAATAAATAATATGTTGATCACTAAATTCCCAGAAA